TTGTTGACAATTAATTGTTTATATTATTAACACATACATAAAACATGTATATGTTGCTCTAACATCAAAATCAACATCAACATCAAAATCAACATCAAAATCAACATCAAAATCAACATCAAAATCAACACCAACATCAACATCACATCAACATCAACATCAACATCAACATCAACATCAACATCAACATCAACATCAACACCAACATCAAACTATTTTATCCTTTCTCTGATAGACATCAATATTGTCATCAACAACAAAAATGAATTGTTTATACAGTTCCAGAAATGGTTTTCCTAATACTGGCGAACACCACCAACTTACACACAAAAACCAATAGCAGATTTTATATGTGCGTGAACTTTTTTTAAAAAACGCATTTTATTATGTAAATCAGTTGTACAACAAGAAAACAATCATTTCATTGATTTCACTTGGACTTTTAAGCATTTTTTATTGGACACCATCTATCTCAACATTAATGCTCTGAAAAAACCGAACTTAAACGAAAAAGTTCCATTCGGAGCATGAAACTTAATTGGTTGATTGATATGTCCAAAGCACTAGTCAGACCAAAGCTGAACCTTTACTCAACATACCAATATTGGTATTCAAAAAAGGTGTTGAGTATAACGAATCTGCCATGGTTTTATGTACAAGGATCCTCAAGCAAAATCTTGAAAATCAACTTTTATTCATGCACTATTGCTGTGCTGCACACATTTCAAGCCTTGCTTGCACAACAAGGTTTTGAAATTATAGATGTGCAAGTTGATTTAATAAGAAATCTGATGTCTAAAATTAAAGGCTCAGTAAATTTATGTGATTCAATAAGAGGACTTTGTAATGTTGAGAGAGTTGATCACCTGAAACCGGAAATTGATATAAAAACCAGGCGGGACATCACATTCTGTATGGAGACGACATTACGTACGTTGGGAACTGAAGAAGCATCCATTCAAAATCTTTTACCTGATATAAATGGTGTAAAACAATTAAGAAAATTAGAAAATTGATCTTTCATTTTATTAAGATATAATCCAATTAAAATAAATAAATACATGATACATTGGCTGATGTTCGGTTTTTGTTTTTAGAACAAATCGGTTGCAAGAAAACCGGATTTGGTTAATCAGAAAAGAAACAGCGGACATTTTTATTTGTTTCCGCCTAAAGATCTTTGATTTTTGTTTTAGTATATAATAATAATAAAAGAACTTTTGAATCGATAACCGTTTTTTATGATTCCACGTGTTATTATGTTATTTACTATCCAAAACTCGAATAAAAGAAAAATTCGTTATGTCAAAATTACTACTCGCGTTTCAACGAATTTTATATGCGAAGCAAAAAAAATTCACTGAAACAAGGTTTGACTGTAGACTGTATATGCTATCATTATATTATGTTTACATTTAAATTTCTGCATGTAATTATTACGCTATAATTAATGGATATGACATATTAATATATATAAGCAACTCGATTTCTATAACTTTTTCTTGAATAAAGAAAATAATATCAAGTTTCGACTTGGAAAACAATCAATCACATTAAATGAATGACCAAAAATATTTGCTAGTATAAAACCTATTTCGTCTCAAACGATTAAATTGCCCTCCCACAAAATCAAGCTTTATGAATTGGATTATTAGTATTAGTTTGCCAATTGCAAACCGGTTTTACGGGTATCCGGTTAAAGCCGTTTTTCTTTATATTTAAACCAATACAAGATTATCTAAAAAAATGAATTCCCAATCAATACGAATTAGCTACTTCAACAAATGCAAATTATTGGAATATAATTGACCTAGAGACAAAACAACACTTTTTAAATATGACACTAGCTTGATTCTGCGGTTAATTGTTTTCATAAAAGAATACATGCCTTCAAACAAACAACAAAATTTATCTTCTGACAACAATTTTTTAGAGACATCGCTTTTAACGGATGGTGAAAATCAATACCAGAAACAATGCTTATCACCAAATAATAATATTGGCAATGATAATATTGATAATATTCAATATCAACAACAATCTTAACCATCGCAAAATCATAATCATGGTCGTAACGGTAAAGTCGAACAACATTTATCTTTTCCAAGTAATGAAAACATTTATCCATTAGCTTAGTAGAAAGCTCATGAACATGAATTTACAAATGGCAAAGGATCATTTAACAATAAAACTCACAAATGTTCTATATGAACAAACATTTTTCAGTAGCAGGAAATAATATCATTAAGTCAAATCCTGAAAAGAGTGCAGGCTAAAGCTCCTCACGAGCCTGCTTGCGAGCTGGCTCATGCGGAGCCTTAATGCAGGCTACAGTTTGTCTGAAATTGGATAGAAAATGGCATCTAGGCAATATGATTAACCTTGGATTTTTTAATGATTTTTTTTTAATTGAAAAAAATAATTTTTAACGAAATAAAATTATTTACTATTCACATGACAAATCTTTATGATTTTTTATTGGTCTAATAATAATCAAACTACACTTCATATATTAGGATGGTCAACATCCAACATAGTTGGACGTTGAAAGAAAACGACTTATTTATTTATTTATAAATTACTCAACCTCCTGAGGAGCATATGAATCGGTAACGTATACAGGTGCTAGGAAATGCAATTTTCGTTATAAATTCTTCAGATGGATTATATTTAACCGCCGCGCTTTAGAAAGGTAGATTCGAATTAAACAATAACAGCAGAGAATATGATGATACAAATTACATATACAACTCATTACAGTTATCGAAATGTGCATGCATCTGTTAACTTGGTCCTTGCAGTACGAGAACGGATGAACTTATAAGAAAGGATGGTTTGTAATGAAATTAAGAAACTGAATAAAGACGAGAAGCATTTAAAAAATTACCTGTGATGATGCTGATGAACCATTTGGCAATATGTAGTTAAATTCTATGATTCCTGGGCACACAAATTTAAATGTAATGGTAGCTTTGGTCCTATATTATTATATCCAAAGACAACGGTTGACTGCGTTGATATATGTAAATGTTGTGAAAAGATCTAGTGCCGCTGGATTGAACAAAACTCAATGCTATGGTGCTGGAAAAGGCTTTCAATATTTTGATTTATTTTAAGAAATTAAATGGCATTCAAAAATTTCTACATTTCTTTTCACAACTTTTTACTTATCCGGGTCATTCAAATGTTCGAGAAGTTGTCGATGGGCCTTTCTATGAGTACACTCTATTAATAACTAAAAAAAAAAAGGGTAAAAGATATTAAAGCTTTATCATTTCCCATATTAACATTCACTCCTATCACGATCATGAATATCTTTATAATGATGTTTGCCCATTTTTCAGAGATCCTCCACAAAATATTGACAACTAGCTTAAGATGGCTGTTAATTTTCCTTCGCCTCGGTAAATCCCAAAGTATTTATTTATTTATTTATTTAAACATTCTTTGATTGTTATTTATTTTAAAACATGAGGGAGCTATTTTCTTATCTTGTTCTTTCTTCTAATGACGCTATGATTCTTGGGCTCCATAGTAGATCTTGTGTAAAATTAGTTTTCATATAATAATAATTTTAATATAGAGATAAAACCGATATATATAAATATCTATCCAAATAAACTTGAAAATTTCATATATAAAAACAAATATACTATGGAAAAACCAATATTGATATTAATTGGTGGTTGTTTCAGTTCAGGAAAGACAACGAGATAAAAAAAATGGAAATTTTGTTATTAATCATCATTATTATCGCAGGCATTATAAACACCTTTCACACAAAAATAAAAGTTAAGATGATCCCAAAACCATAGATATGGATGGAACTTCTTATAGAAGAGTTAAAAAGGACAAACATCCTTCATGAAAAAAACCCCTCTGAAAAATGGCAGATCTTAAATTTTTGTATTAATTTGAACAGTAGGATTTTAAGAAATATAGAAAGAAGCTGAAACATTTAATAAAAAACATGTTCAAAGTTATATTCGCAATGTAGAAAATTTGTTGGGTCAACTAGAGAATATGCTAATGTGATTTTTACTAAAAAAAATGTCAAGTCCACCACTCATTATAATCTGCACTTTGAGAAAAAAAACAGTCAAAAAAAAAAGAATTTGCCATCTAAACCAAAACTAAAGAGAAAATTAGCCATTTGCGGAATTTTATATTTTGGATTTTCTGCTTTAATTTTTTAATTAATCATCTTTTATGGAGAAACCGGCCGTTAATTGCATTAGTAGTAGTAGTACAAATATGATTATGATGAATATTAAAAAAACATTTGGTCCCTGAATATAAAAATGGAATGCTTACAAAATTCACAATTTATATTTAAAAAAAAAATGAACCATCACTTTCGATTAATCTATTATTATTATTGTTGTTATTGTTTTGTTATATTACTATGAGCAAAAAGTCTAGCCTAACTTTTTATTACATATTAAACTCGGCCAGAATTAAACAAGATCTACAAAATTTTATTCGATTTTTGTGTAGTAACAAAAGGAATTATTATTGAACCAAATCGAAAAATTTAGCAATATGTCACCCACACCTTCTCCACAAGTTCAAGCTACATCATTATCAACGCAACAGCAACAGCAACAGCAGCAGCAACAGCAACAGACAGCGCAACAACAACAACCTTTAACACAACAACAACAACAATTACAACAACAGCATATACAACACCAATTACAACTACAACAACAGAGACAATTGCAACAACAACAGCAGCAGCAATTGCAACAACAACAACAACTGCTGTTACAGCAACAACAGCAACAAATACATCGAACTTTAAATCAAAACATACAAACTATAAAATTGGACATTCATAGTTTACAAGAGGCTTTGAAAAATCCTCATCTGACTCCCCAAGTTAGACAGGAAAAGGAAACAAAGCTTAGTTACTATAGTAATCTTTTAAGAACTCCAATATCAGGCATATATTTATATATATTTATACAATACTTCTTATCTAAGTATTTAAAATGAATTTTTTTATTATCTTACAATACTCATTCATACTTATGTATAAATATGTATAAATATATGTTGTATAGTCTCACCGATGGTCAGAACTTCATTACAAAGCATATCTGCACAAGCAATGCCACTCAACACATTAACACAAACTGGCGCTTTATCTTCGCAACCAGGTTAGATAGATGATTGATTTGATTTAAACTTTTTATTTTTATTCCTTTATTTATTTCACAATTTTATATGTATATACATTTTATTAATTTAGGTAATAATGATTTTGGGCAAATTATTTCAATTCCTCAACATGATATTTATATTTATTATTTACCCTTGTATGCTAACTTTGTTTATTCTGCACTCAAATATAAACAATACGAAGGTCAGATATTAACAAATAATTCTATCATCCAACAACAATTATTAATGCAACAATTTTCATCCACTTCACAAACAGCTCTACAATCGTCACATTTACAACAAGGTTCACATTTTAATACTGTTCAGATAAATTCCTCATCAATGATGGATATTGATGTAGAAAAATTTCAAATATTAAAATCTACTAATATGACTAATAATAATAATAATAATAATAATAATAATAATAATAATAATAACACTAATACAGATACCTTAACAATGTCATCGACATCAACATCGACATCGACATCAGCATCGACATCATCAAGCACAAGCACTAATATCAGACCAATAACACCGATAATGCCAATAACACCTGCAATTACGACAAATTTTCCACAAACATTAACCTCAATGCCAGGAAAAGAACAAATTTTATCATCAAATACATATTTAACTTCAAGTTTAACACCAGGGACTTCACAATTACAAATTACGGATTCTGATAATATTGAAAAACCAATTGTTGCAAAACGTAAAATCCAAGAATTGGTTGAACAAATCGATCCTAGAGAAAGATTAGAACCAGAAGTAGAAGATGTGTGTTTGTTTACTCTATTATTATTATTATTATATATATATATATTATTTGTAATAATAATTGAAAATTTTTTTAGTTGCTATTGGATATAGCTGATGAATTCATAACATCAGTAACTTCCTTTGCTTGTCGGCTAGCTAAACACAGAAAGTCAGATACATTGGAAGTAAAAGATCTTCAATTGCATCTAGGTATCATAATTATCAATCTTACTCTCTCACGATCGATTGAAAAAAAAAAGTGTTTATTTGTTGTAACTTACTTATTATTTTCTTTCTTAATGATTGATGATCAGAACGAAATTGGAACATACGTATTCCGGGTTTCGCTTCTGATGAAATTAGATCAGTAAGAAAACCAGTGATAGCTGCTACACATCAACAAAAACTTGCCGCTGTAAATGGTGCACGAGCTCAAAGTACATCATCTCATTAATCTTTTATTGTTATTATTATTATTATTTATATTATAACATAATACATTTTATGAGGATAATGGATTGATATGAATGACGGGATGAATAAATATATATTAATATTAATATATTGACATTTATAATTTTTTCCCGATTCTTACAATTCTTAGAAAATATATTATTCATTTATACATTATATATATTAATTTAGAAATAATGATGTAATATAAATATACGTTATATATATATATATAGATAAGCAACACATAAATATAATCCATCAATATTAATATTAAATAAATTTTATCTTTTGATGATAATAATGTGTGTAAATAAATTTTAAAATTTTGTTTTAGACAGTTGATAGGATTTATTGAATTGAATTGATAACGAATGGTAGCCAAGCTATTAAATAACATTCGATGTTTTCAATATTTAAATAAAAGATGTTTTTTTATTATTAGAAAAAATAAAAATGATTTATTTATAAAGAGTTGAAAAATTGTTAAAAAGTAAAAACAACAATAAAAATGAAGGATTACTTGTCGATTTGTAACAACAACAACAACTCCATTAGGAAAAATTGGATTGATGATTTAAGGTTACTGAATTATCTTTAGAATAGATTAACTTATCTCTCTGCTTTCACTTATTAAAACTGATCAAGCAAGCATATTGGAATAATCAATCTTTAACATTTGTTTATTTGCTTTTTTTTTAATCCTCAATTATTAAAAAGTTTTATTGAAAAGAGCCAGCGCTGTTGAAACTCATTCTTATATTATGGCAAGGTATTAAAAGAGGGGAATTGTTTTTTTCATATTAAAATAATTATTTCCTTTCAGTCGATAAATAACACGCCAACTTTTAATATAAAAAAAATTAATTTATCAAAACAATATATATTATTGTTGTCTTGGATAACAGGTTCTTGTTAACAAGATGTCCAGCAAAAGAAAAGTTTGTGTTAGTATGTTGTGCAGTAGTATCACATGATTTAATCGACGCTGGTACCCTTTTTTGAAAAGTATCCTTCACATCCCATGCTTGTAGTTAAACTCGTGGTGCAATGTTAAATGCTCCTTTCATTAATAATATTAAATTTTCTATCAGAATGCTAAATACTCATTAAATTTATACCGTATGTAACTTAGGTTTGGATGTGAAATTTAATGTTTCAAGCACTTCTATATCTTCAATTTGATTTGTCTCAACTATAAACGCTATGATTATGAAAATTCGCATACTCTTGAGAAATTTCATTGTTTCATTGATTTCTTCTTCAGAATAATTTAAATATTTACATTGTAATAATACTTCATCCGTAACTTCCTTTTCATTTTTGGCTTTTAGCAATACATTGGTTAAATCAAGTTCTTGGATATGTGCAAAATCAGGTTGAAAAAGCCTACTCTGCGCCATCTATTTTAAACATATCTTTTGCGGTCTGAATCCTTTTTTGCCATACTTCTTGATGTTTTTCATTAATTGGAAAACAAACCGGCCAGGGTACTTCTTTGTCCAGATCTAGAAACTTTGCTGTTTCAGGTAAAACATTATTTTGTATTTGTCTGGAATTGTAACGTGGACGGCATGGAGTTTTTTTACTTACATAATGCTGTGTAAGTTCTTGCAGAGTTGAAAGTTCATATTTACAAATTTCACACGTATGATTTTTTCTAGGAGACATGTTGAAAATATTAACGGTTTTATAAATTACTTGTATAAAAATTTTTTATTTTTTATTTATTGATATTTTTTTTTTAGAAAAACGTAATAGTATTTTCCAGAACGATTTACTATTTATTTTTAAATATGTCGCAATTAAAACCAATTGTGGTATATACAAAGGAAATTTAAACCAACCGTTGTTATATGGGATGATGTCTAGCAAAAATCACATCCGAGGTAAATATATAGAAAAAAGAAATTTCCCAAATTTAGAAAGCAAAATTTCATGTTATATCAAACTCATTCTATTTTTAGTATGCATGATTTTATTAAGTAAACAGGGTTTAATAAAAAAAAGCAAATTTTGGTCAGAGGCGGTTTATTTCATTGGGCCACTGAACCATTTTAACTAAATCTGGTGTTTAAAAGTGAATTCTCGATAGAATAAATTATTAACTCTAATTATTGAATTGGACTGGAAATAGAAACCATAGTTACTAATTATGTGAACCTGACTGTTTATTCTAATATAATACAATGATAACTACTGTTGTTGACAATTAATTGTTTATATTATTAACACATACATAAAACATGTATATGTTGCTCTAACATGAATTATTTTACCCGAACCTGGTGAATTAAAGGACACTGTTAAAATTAATGACAAAGACGACAAAAGATTTGAGGTATGCAATAGTTCCTTGATGTCTAATATTTATTTCATATATATACATTAAAATTAAATGAATATGAATATCAGACATTTTTAAATGAACCTTACGTTGAATTATCAGAGAATAATAATACACTCAAAAGATTGAGACATGACTCACCATAGACTTGACTGGGATAAGATATTTTATTTTGAAATGAAGTGTATATACTGTATATATATATTTATTTATTTAAAATTATATAAAATCGGCCAAGAACTTCCAAACAAAATTTATGGTTAAGAACTTCAAAAATATGAAAATCATCAATTTTGAAAACAATATAAACATATGTTTCAGATTATTATTTATATTTCTCAATTATAAATTAGATATATATTATTATTATTACTATTATTATTATTATTATAATTATAATTATTGCTTTTATTGTTTTTTTTATTAATAAACGCATACATGTAACATTTTTCCTTTCTCCAGCTTCTACACTTTTAGAAATTCACTAATAAGTTACTCTTCCTTAATCGAAGTTGCACCAGAAGTAAATGAGTCAGGCTTTTTTTTGCTTTAGATCTGATTGCAAGAAAACAACCCAAACGCTAACTGATAAAAAAAGAAACAAAATTAATAAATGTTTCCACTTACCATTTACATATTCTGCTACAAATTACAATTTAAATAAGAAAGATTTGCGGGCCTCTGACTAAAAAATTTTATGGGTAAGTCTATTTAAAGTTACTCAATTCAAAAATGAAAGGACTTTGTTTACATTGTTTTGTTTTCTTAAATAATACAACAAACAAAAAACAAAAAATGTATTATATACGTATAATGGTGTAACAATAAAAATGTAAATAAATACGATGGCTTTTTCACCAAAGATTGTGGAATTTGACCTAATAATTAATAATTAATAATAAATAATTCATCTATTATCAAATATCATTCTTTCTTTTCAAAGAGGGTTTTTTATATATTTACATTAATACAATCAATCACACACAGCAGGACTGTGAAAATTTATTTTTACTTTTTAATTTTTTCGATTTTTTTCACCTTTTAAAAATGACTAATATTAATATTAATAAAGAATCAGTAAAGCAAAGCAAATTTTTAAAATTAGAAACTTACAAAAAATTTACAAAAAATCATATAATTAAACCATATAAAAAAAATCCAATTATCACGTCAGCAATTTATTTAATAATATTATCGAGCTTGTTATTATTTATTTTATTAGTTGGTAGTTTACAATCTGTTTATTTATCAAGATTTGTATTTGACGAGCCAATTCAAACTCTTATAAAGAAACAACAAATTTCATTCACTTTATATTCATACTGTCTCGATAACGTTTGTTCTGATCCTTCTTTTATACATAATTTTGATCAAAGTAAGTAATAATTTATTTATTTTATATATATGTGTGTGTGTGTGTGTATGCATATAATTTTTGGTTATTAATTGATTAAATTTTTTTTATTAAAAAAATAAAGTACCTTCCGTTGAAGAAATAGTTGAAGGTATAGAAAGTAAATTTACAAAAAGATTCATAGATCCAAATCAAGTTGGAGGTACAGTTGGAGATACAGTTGAAAATGGTGTTGATAAAGCAAAAGAGTTTGGTTCAAATGCAGGAGATACAGTATCAAATACAGCAGGAGATGTCATTAACAAAATAAATGAACTATCACCAACAATGCTGGATAGTATAAAAAATTTTAAACCACAAGTGTCAACTGTAAACCTTCTTGGAATTTTCTCCATTCCATATTTAATAGCATTCTTAATCAATATAATCATGTTTCCCTTATTATATTTTAATTTCAATATATTAGTCATAGCATTATTGTTCCTTTCTACATTCTTTGTTGCACTTTCTTTAACCTTTGATATGTTATTATTTGTGTGGGTGTTCAAAGCCGTTGCATTAATACCTGGTCTTGGTCAACAAAAAACTGGATCTGGAATTCATTTAGCTGCTTGGAGCTTAATTTTTTTAACAGTAGCTACAATATTGATGATGATTGGTGTGTGTAACAAAATGTGTATTAGTGGCATTGTCAAAAAACTTAGGAGAAACAAATTATCACCAAGTGATGAAAAAAATCAAACATTAACTAGTGAAGTATAAATTATCGGCTGTGGGGATATATATTTATTTATATATAACTAGAGGGAAATCGTATTAATATTAATGTAAATTAAAAAAATCCAAAAAAATTATTTGATAATAGATGAATTAATTAATTAATGTATCATATTTATTATGTTTATTATTTATGAAAATAAAAAATAAATATTATAAATTATAAATTTTAACCCAATCTTGAATTTGAATTTTATATTATAAAAATTGAACTCTAAAGACAAAAAAGTCGGGCGCACTTTTAAACAAAATTGCATAAAATCACCATTTTGCAACTTAAGCTATCCAAATTATATATATATACACGAAATTTCACGTCTAACGTTTTTATTAAACAAACAAAAAAAAAAAATGAAAGCATAATGATAAAATTAAAATCTAATAAGTAATAATTTCGTTGGCCATCAATTATTGTCGATAACCCACCACTTCAATTCTCCTTGGCATACTCGATCAATTTTATTAGAAATTATTTGTAATTTTTTTCGATTTTTTCTGATAATATCAATTTATTTCTAAATAGACGAGTTACTGCTTTTCTATGAACACCATCAACCTTAGTTGTTTGGTGGTTCGCTATTTAAGGCAGACATTTTTTGGAGGAATTAATCATTTAAAATAATACTTGCCTTACACATTTATCGGATTGTTTGTCCAATTAATTTTTTGTCAGAAAGATTTTTGGGAAAAATTTTTAATTGTTACTAGGCACGATAGAAAATTTAAAATTTTGCAAGTAAAGTTTTGAGAACCTAAACACCCGACTTTTGTCCATATGTAGATAAAACTAAACATTTGAAATATAACAAATTTTTGTTAATAATGGTTTCAGCTTCCATAATATCTGTATCACCGTCAATATCAAGGCCGGGTCTAATCATCTTGGATATTCTATTGGCAAATGAATGATCCAAACTAAATCCTGATTGTAAAAGTGAAATTTCAAATAACGGTCATGTAGGATCTTATCATTCTTGTCAACTTCCACTTACATATTAATATGCAAAAAAGAAAATATGTATGTAACACGAAAAGCAAACGTTGATCAAAATAGAATTTCCACTATGCTGTCCTATTTTTCAATTCAAAATCGGAAAAATTATTATTTTAGTATTAGTATTATTATTATTCTCACCCTTTTTATAGTTATAGTAATTAGTAATTAGTAATAGTAATTAGTGTTATAGTGTTAGTATCAGTATTGGTGTTAGTATTGGTGTGAAATTATTCTTAAAGTTTATTTAATTTTCCTTTATTATTATTTGAAGATTTCAAAATTTATTTTAAAAACCTTCCGAGCAGTTATGGATCAATATTTTTACAATGTCAACAAATGCTAACGAAGACAGGAAAAAGCTGAATGAATTATTAACGTATATTTTATTTATACATATAACTATTTACTTACATTGGAACCTATTTAGTGAAATTACTGATTTTAATATTATACATTATACAACATGATAGGGAGGCTTCCGAACTCGAAATAGACTTAAAGAAACAAGAACAGCAAAAACAAATGGTTGAAACTTTTATTGATTTTGACGACGAGAAAGAATTTTTACGTAATAGGTAGTATATATTTATTTATTTAAAAATAATTTTTTTTAAAACAGATAAACTTATTTATAATTTTAATCTTGATTAATAGTCTTAAAGATATTTATGAAGATATTATTTTGATCGATTTAAAAAAGGCAATAGAAAATAAAATTCAAGAAAAACTTTGGAGAAACATTTTTTACAATCATATTGAAGAATTAAAACATAAATTATTTAAAGTAATGCTTTTTAAGAATTATTATTTTAAATTTTTCTTTCCTTAATAATTATAATAAATAAATCTCTGGACTATTATTACTACATTTTCATCTAAAGATAAAACATGAAAATATCTCTGAATACCAAGCTGCTTATCATGAATTGTGTAGATATCTTGATTTAGGAACTGGCTTTTACCATACACTTGTCAATGTTTTAAAAATTCGAGAGAATATAGATTTGGATCGTATTGGAATCGGTAAAAATATATTTGTAAAAAAAATTTTATATAATTCTTTATTACAATACATGCTTAAATAGTTTTTTTTTGGTTTTCTTTCTAAATTTTATTTAGAAATTTTTTTAAACAGTATTAATACCCCTTCAAATGGGTCACGTTCTGCTAGCAAATTTAAAAGGAAGGAATTAACTGCAGAATTTATTCAACAATGTCTTATTCGTTTAGGTGACTTTGCTCGTTATCGTGTAGCTATTCTTGAATCAGACGAGAAACGTTGGGAATTTGCTAGACATTTTTATAATATGGCAGCAATGATTTATTGTGATAATGGTAGTAGTAGTATTTGTTGTTTGAATTTTTTTTGTTTTTAAAACTCTAAAACTGACTAATTATTGACAGACAAAAAATTTTTCAATACTAATTAGGAGGAGCTCAAGAACAATTAGCTATTTTGGCTTTCTATAATGAAAATGATTTGGATACTGTTTATTGGCATTGTTTTAGGTTTGAATTTTATAAAAATAAAATAATAATAATAAATGGTTTGTTTATAACAATCATTAATGTTCAAATGCTAAATATATTAATTCTATTTATTGTTATACCAGTCTTGCAACAAAACAGCCCCCTAAAATTGCAGCAGACAACTTAAATTTATTTTATTCAAATTTTGGACAAAAAATTCAAGATAATAATTTCAACGATTATACAAAGTAATGTTTATTTGCGATTGGATATTATTTTGTTTTATGTGTGTGTATATATATATAAATATTTTTCTTAATGTATATATAATAGAACTCAAGATTTTGTGGGAAACTTTCTAATTATACATTATTTTCTTTTCACTCAAGATCTTGAAGGGTGAGAATTAAAAAAAAAAAAAAATAAAATTTATTTGAAATATATTTATAATCATTATTAGGATATTAATTTTCTCTTCTTTTGATAAGATTATATCAAAGTTACATTGATCCTGAGGGAACTATCAATGATTTTGATAAATCGTTGCGAAAAGAAAAAAATAATAACACTATACATTTAGGAAATACACTCAAGAAAATAATTTTTATTTTAATATTTACTTTGTGGGATTTACGTGGTATTTAATTATTCTCGCTTATTACTTTTTTTTTTATTTACGATTAATTACAAATTATAAAAATAAGTTTATATTTTAATTATTTAGCTCAAAATCATACTGTCGAACTTGGAAATTTTCAATCTTACATAATCGGCTTAGGATTTGGTTTTTTAGCATCAGTTTTAGAAAATTTAAATTCCGATTGGAATAATAATAACATGGAGGATGATAATGAAAATGGTCAAAAAAATGGGCATGGTTTTTCGATAGCTTTAGAATGTATGCCAGTTGTTCCCCTTTGGTGTGAATATATTGGGACTTTTACAGATGTTTTTGGCCAATTATTCATCCATTCAAAGCCAAATGAAAAGGGTCTTGGTAGCTTTTTCTTTATGGTAATTAATAATGTTGTTGTTGTTGTTGTTGTTGTTGTTGTTCTTTATAAGTGATTATCTATTTTCTTGTTAAATCTGTTCTCTCATATATATATTTAGAATGTAAAAAGATTTTTTAAATCACTTACCGACCTCTTAAATTATTCGAAAATTTCCAAAATTTTAATGGAGAAAGATGACTTTTCAGAAATATCTAATATAGTTTTACCTGAAGATATTGAATTCTTAGGAATTGTTCCATTGCGTAATATACAACAAGAAAAAAATTTTACTTTTACAGGTAAAATTGATCACCTAAAAGTTAGAATGGCCAGGCTTATTATTTTTGCTAAAAAAATGGCTGAACTTAAGGTAAGATTTATTCATGATAATTTTCAAAATACCTTATTGTATTGTTTATAAATAAAAAATTTTTTTTTGTGGATGGATTTAGTCTCTTGATATTTTTGGTTATGATCCTACGGGCGTATTCATGATGATAGATGAAGAAATGAAGGTACAACTATATTTGTATATGTGTGTGTATGTATATTTGCTCATTTTAATTATATATATGTGTGTGTGTGTTGTTATTTAGAAAAAAGAACGTGAGCGTGTTATGAAATTGATGGCACAACAATTGTTACAAGATCAAGTGACTTCCTTGGAACACAACCTTCAAAGAATGGGCCATTCGCCTCAAAAATCTATTGTTGTTGGATCTAATAATCCTGTTTCAAGCAATAAAGAAGTTGTAAAAACAAAAAATTTACAAAAATTAAAGCAATGTGTTATTGGTAAAGATATAATGTTAAATCGTTTGAATTATGTGAAAAAATGGATTTCTGATAAGAAACATGTCGTGATTGTACCGTTGGATGGTATGTTATATATATATATATATATAAATACATGCGAATGTGTTCTAATTTATAAAGCATAGTTATAAAGTTATTTAATTATTTTATCATTGCTATTTTTTTATATAGTTATTGATTCATTGGATCTTATTAAAAAAGGCAACAATCCAGAAAATGCGAGAGCTAGAGAGGCAATTAGGTTTTTAGATCACCAACTTCTGAAACAACAAAATCAATCCAATAATAATAAAGAGCCAAAAAATAGTAACAACCATAATAATGATCATTTTATTCATATACAGAAAATACACGAGAAATTACAACAATGGTCTTGTGCAAAAGAATATATTAAGGCAGAAGATGATAATAAAAAACAAAATGTCGAGGATAAAAATATCAAGCAAACAACAGTTGATGATGATAGTGATGATAACGATGACGATATTCATAGTGATAATGAATTCGATATAATAGATGTACCACCAGAGTATCGACCAATTATAAGTTGTTGGCTTTATTTTTTGCATCTATCAAAGATTGAAAATGTTGATTTTGTTTCAGAAGATGAATTATTAATAAAATATGCAAAAAAATTTGGCATTTCTGTTGTTGAGGTTGGAAATATTTAAAAAAATTACAATATTATTATACCAAAAAAAAAATCAAAGGTATTATTGTTGTCGTCATTATCATTTATTATTATTTATACATCAGGTTTGTTCATTTAATTTATATTTCTTTCTCTCTTCTTAATAAACTATTACTTAATACTTGTTCATAATATTGTAATTTTGAAATTGCATCTAACCCATTTTCACCTCGATTATTTACTATATTTAAATTACAATTGTCCTTTAACGATGATGATGATGATGATGATGATGATGATGATGATGATGATGATGATGATGATGATGATGATGATGAATCAGTCATTGTGTCATTTTTGGTCATATTCTGAAGGTGAGACGTGATATTTTCGTATGAATTATGAATCGTTTCATAATATTTTAAAAACTAAGTATATTAAAAATGATAATTAAATGATGTAAGAATTATTTTTAAATCAGCTCAAGATTTTTTTTTTGAAACTTACACCATGTAATTTATCTAGTTTTGTATTTGCTTCTAATATTTTATGACCTAAATATTCAAAAAAAGTTTTTCAAATACCTTTCTTCATGTATTGATTAATGGATATAAATCTTACCATCGAAAACAACATCGTTGCCTTCTTTAGGATTTTTAATTTCTTTATTTGTCCACAATTCGATTTCATTTTCATAGATTTCAGAAAATTTTGCAAATTGAGCCAACAGTTTATTAGATATAGTCTTCAAATTTTCACATGTTTTGCTATCAGAATTCATTTCCTCTTCCTCCTTAATTATATTATTAGATTGAATCTACGCGCCAAAAAAAGACCAAAGTTCAAAATATATTAAAATTTAAAACATTTGCAATGATTACTAGTTTCTGTTCAGTAGTTGCAAATTATAATATGAAACCTCTTTTTGTTCAAGGATCAACTTTTTTTTTAAATCTTGTATTCTATTTTTTTCTTTCTCCTTTAAAATTTTGAGTTCTGATAAATCCACTTTACTTTTATGTTTAATATATGATTAAATTGTTAGAAAACGCGTAATTTTTAATAAAGATTTTAATATATTTTATTACCTCTTATCATCATTATTTTTTTCCATTGAATTATTAAGCATTGTTGTTATGTCTTCTGAAAACAATTCGAAGTCTTTTTTCAAAACACTATTTAACATTTCGCGATTTGTAATTATTCCATCCATTAAAATACTTGATTTAAAAATTTCATCCATTGTTATTAAAACCAGACAGCGAACATTGTGTCACACAGGATTACAGGGTTTACTTATGGAAATTAATTTATTGATTGAAAAATTTGCCATTGAAAAAATCAAGGCAGAATTCAACAACTTATTTTTAGAAAATCGTGATTTTCCCAAGTTAGAGAATTTGGAGCATATGAGGATCAAATTAGGATATCAAGTATATGAATAAAATTGATGCCCGATCAGCAAGAACATTGATATATAATGAAATTAAATTATTTCTTCCTGATAATATTGTTAATATGTATACAACTATTTGCTTGATGCAAATTCAAAAAATTATAAGTTGGTGGTGGTCGAACACCCATTTTTATACTTGTTTGTTAATGTAAATAATTTTTATTGAATATTGGAAAATTATAAAATAATAATATTGAATGGTTAAGTTTGCTATATACAGTGTGTTAAGAAAAAAATTGGCCTCTGGAGATATAAAATTTAAAATGCATAATTTCCATATTAATTAAATAAATCATAACAAATCATTTTAGACAATAATAATTGACTCCGTAACTTAGTTTTAATTAAATTTATAACCTTTTAAACATCGTTTTTTGTGCTTTAAAAATGACTGCAAACAAGTTAAATTCTCAACGCCAAACTCTTGTACATTTTTGGAATAATGGA